ACTAACTAACTAACTAACTAACTAACTAACTAACTAACTAACTAACTTTAAAATATCTTAAAAAACACCAAAACAAATTTATCAAGACAGCAATTAAGTTTGTCACCTTTGATGCAAAATATAAAAAAGAGGGATGGCTTCTATTTAATCTTCCTCCCATTCATTTCTTTCTGCACCCACCTGATCCTGCAGGGAGGCAGGGAGGTGTGGAGCTGGTGCTCTTTAGACAAGAGGCGAAATCTCCCCCCACCCCACACCCCCTGGACCGGTCATCGGCCCATCACAGGGCCACGTAGAGACAAACTGTGCTCACTCAGACAAACTCAAGACCAATTTAGAATTTCATTGAACCTAACATGCACATTTTTAAACTGTCGGAGAGGAAAGCAAAGTTACTGAAGGAAACCAAAGAAATAAAAATAAAAGTTTGAGCACAGGGCCTCCTTACTACAAAACACCAGCTCCAACAAACTGCACCGCCATGCAGCCAAAGGGCATGATGATTTAAAATGGACGACTACTCCAGTTTAAACTAGTTATATATATCAAAAGTTTTTTTTAAGCCTTTTACTACTTCTTCTTGAAAATTTCCTCTTTTAATTTTTTCTGATCAATTGATTTTTGGTTGTTGTGCGATCAGCTTATTGAATCTCTGAATGTAATGCAAAAGAAGTTGAGTTCTTTGGTTTCCTGCATCAGCGACCAAAGATTTAAATTATGTGAACTGATTTTCTGTTGCATTTTTTTAAGTCACCCTTATTCCACCATTTAAAAACCCATAACATCTTTACTAGCATGTACATGGACCCTCTGATCACATTTTTGTTCAACTTTCTTTGTGGAGTTCAGCTCTCGGCTGCTGAAGTAACTATGAGAAAACACAGCTGCTTCACAAAAGTATGATGTCATCACAAGACAGCTCGTCCAGTGTTGATCTTTAATAAAGACCGAACCTTCATCAGTCACTTACAGACTGTCAGGGAAAGACACAAGGTGCAGATAAACTGAGCTGACTGTTTCCCAGTGGGATTTAAGTTATCT